TGCCACGTTTCTTAACCATGCACTTCGTATGTGCTCAACTGACGTGTGAAGTTCAAAAGAGAAAAGAGTTTGAAGCTTTTCAAAGAGAATGATGTTATATATATACTGTATTACGTCGTAAAATTTACATGGTAGAGATGAGTCATCGATCTTATATAGTCTTGTGACAAAAAAATTTATAAAAGTCAACAATGTCCGGTACAAGATTTTGTAAGATCTTACAAGATCATATGAATTCTTGTCATAAGGTCTTACAAGACCTTGTCACTTCTCATAACCAGATCTTGGGGGGTCTTATAACAAGAAGTTACAAGATTCCATAAGATCTTATATTATCTTATAATGAGGTCTTGTATGATCATATCGTAAGACCTTATTACAAGATTTCACAAGAAAACATCAGACCTTGCAAGGTCTTACAAGACGTGTTTCATCTGGGCCTGGTCAGACAAACGTTTGTCTTCTGGTAAACATAGAAGTTAAAAATAGTTCCTCAAAAAACAGGGATGGTTTCTCATTATAGTAAACATCAACTGTCATTAAAGTAATGGATCTGTTATATGAGCGATTTTACTTGAAATCATCTTAACCAACGGATCCGTTTGCGATGAAACAATGTAAACCTCCAACGCCTGTACTGCTATACTAAAACTTCGTGCATCATGCATTGTCATAAAATGAAAAACACTATTCCTGTAGAGATCATATTTTTTTGCCTCATGGCACATGAGCGAGTGTACAGAATGGCTTCTGGAAAGTATCGTTGTATTGTGTTTCTAAGAGAACTAGGTTTCGCTAAAATTTTAGTGAGTAACGGTATAGTAGCGATGAATTTTACCCATCAGACACAATCTTCAAATAAATTAAAAATTCACATTTTTTGAGAAACTTAATATAGTAGCAACGAAACCTAAACATAAAGATGGGTTTTATTATAGTTTTATCGCTGTTTCTTCCAGCAAGGCGACAGATGTCAGGCCAATTTTTTGCAGTACAATTGCGTCCTCCATCAGACTAATAGACATTGATGTTGCTTTTAGGGGGATTATGGCGAATTTCAACAAATCACAAGTTGCTTTAAAATTTTGACAGATATTTAATGAATAATAAGAGAGGGTGATGAGCGAGAAGGAGAGAGAAGTAAACAATCAAATAAAATAAAAAGAGTACCATGCTGATGATAATGAATGTATAGCCGAATCTCGAAAACTCAAAACATCGATAGCGAAAACGGAGAATGCATAAGATCGAAAATAAGAATGGCGAAAACCTGAAATGTAGAAACAAAAATGACGAAAGTACAGAATGTCGAACGGTAAAAACAACAACAATGTTTTGAAAGTGAACGGACTTTTATCTCCAAAATGTTTCTTGGTCATGATTCTTCCGATCGATCTGCGAATCTTTTGTACACATGTTCATTTTGTTTCTATGTGAAATATTTTGCCGCTCTGTTGGATGAGTTGAGATTAACAAGTATAGACCATAGTCTACGTATCTCGATCGATTTGTCTATCACCTACGACGAATTCTTAACACATCTTGCTTTATTTTCTTATATCCTCTCACACTTATCTTCCTGCTTCCCACCTCTCCCCAACGCACATATTTTATTGTGCTTATTCGGTTGTCGTTTTTACTAAACAGTATTGTGAAAATACAAGTCACTACATTTCCGTTATTTTACCGTTGGACATTCAACATTTTCGATATTTCAAGCTTTCGACATTTTTCACTTTCGTCATTTTTGTTTTCTACATTTCAGGTTTGCGCCATTCTTATTTTCGGTCTTGTGCATTCTGCGTTTTCACGATTGGTGTTGTGAGTTGATGACTAAAGACATACATATCAGAATAATAAACTCGTTCTGTCAGTTATCTGGAAGATGGGTGTTTGTTCTACCCACAACTTGTTCAATTTTCAATAAACCTACAAAAAAATTTGAGAAAAGGAATAAACTTGAAAAGCAGGAAGAATGAGTGACTGATGTTCGGCTCCAAGGTCTATCATCATGGGCCTAAACAGAAGTAACGGTAGTGTTAAGTTTAAATTAGTAGAAAGCACAGATTTGAAAACGTTTTTTTGATTAGTGATTGGATGGAGAGGAAACTAAACTTTTACTGCGATAATTTGAATTTATATATTGAATTGATCTGTACTTTCTAAGCCGAAGAAAAAATATTTTCGTTTTTTCACCAGGCGTGGGATAAAGATTTTCTTTTAAAGGTTAATGGAATAACTCAATTGGTAGAATAGTAGGAATATATGAAGTATAAAACTGCTGTAAAATTCATTATTTTTACAGCAGTTTTACACTTCATTTACTCTTAGCTACTGGAACAAAGTTTCCGTTACACCCATCTTGCATTTTTAAGCAAAGTGGACACAATTTACTGTGGGTCTACTGTAATTATGTTATTACAATGCAGAAAGCATTTTCTACAATTTTCGTTAAGGAAATTTTTGTTTATTTAATTTTTAGCACGTGTATCACTTATTTGAATTCAACGTTTTATTGGATGTAGCTGCGTGGCATGAATGATCATGATGGGTTTGAGTGTATAATTGAAGTTCTAAATGAAACTGATCTATCACAATATTTAGCTAAATTTAGAGATGATTTACAGATAACGAAGTAAAGTACTACAGTTTGCTTTCAATTACTGTAATAACAATTATTCTCTTCCCATTTAGATTAGCTCATTTTGACTTTGTTCAGAGTCAAGATTTAGAACGAATTGGTTTAGGAAAACCTGCCATTAGACGATTATTAGCGGCTGTTAAACGAAAACGAAATGATTTAAAAAGACGACCATCAATAACAGCTGTAGGTGTTTATGAGTCGTCGGATTAAAATACGGGATCTGTTCCTCACGGTAAACAGCTCTGTTTACCAATGCAAAAAAGTGATACTGAGAATGAAAGCGCTACGATTTTGAATAAGTTGAGAAATTATTTTCTTTCTTTCACAGGTATTATCAAATGGATCACCAGACACACGAATCGATTCATCGACTATATCTTCCTGTTTAATAAATGAAAAAGATGTCACTTTGCTTGGAACACTAGGTCAAGGACAGTTTGGACTTGTTAGGAAAGGAGAATGGATAATAAACAATGGGAAAAGGGTAAACAATCACATTTTTTAATCGTAGATGGCGAAGTTGAACCAGGACTTTTTGTTGAACAATAGTTTTTCATATATTGATTAAACTAAATCCTCTTTTGAAAAGTCATTTTTGAAGTAAACATTTAGTTAGACCGCATGCCAGATGGGCCAGAAAAAAATGACAGTCCGTTTCTGGCATAGATCTTATTTAAAAATTCTGGTCTGGTGTGTGTTAGGAGCGTTTCCTCTATAAAATTGAGTAACTCCGTTATTTATATAGTGTTTCGTTATTTAAACTATTAATAAAGAATGAAATCAGGTTAAACGCAAAGCTACGACTGGCGTATAAAAATGCTGCAATTATCCTTATTCGATGGCTTTGGAAAAAGAAAAATAGAAATTAATTGAATAGGATGTAGATGAAAATGTACAGCTATTTCAGAACTATCGTTCTGATAAATAAAATTATTCGCTAAAAACGTACTATTAAAAGGTATCCTGTATTTTCGTCCAACAAGCTCACTAGTATTTTTTTAGTTTTGATTTTTAGCACAAAAACTCGTGAAGCACAGTAACCGAACAATAATATCTGTATACACACGACATATTATTTCATAGAGCAGAAAACTTACTACATACTTTCTGAAATCTTCAAGTAATTTGTTTAGATTTTGAGTAAGATATGCATCTTTTCTTTATTTATTTGTTCTGAGCTAATGTCAGGGTATTTTCTTCCAAACTCACTATGCTTTCTTACTTCTCTTTTAAAACAAATATTATCATGAAAATCAGAATGATCAGATTTTCATTCATCTCTCTAAACGCATCCAAGGTAGATCCTGAAGCTCTTAGGAAAATCGATGCCATCAGGTAATGCTTGTATAAATGTTAAATTTTGGCAAAATGTGAACAACCATTTTATAGAAAGTATTGAGCAGAAAACCCCAAAACGTTTTTTTAAACTTAATCGCTCTACCGTGCTCGAACTAACGGAACATAATTCTCAACTATTCCTTGATTTTTCACTGAAATATACTGCATTATAAATAATTTGTGGTGTTGATTACGAATGTAATATTCGTAGCTGACTATGGTGAGTTCTTGATTAGAAAACTGATCTATAGAAACACTGAAAAACGTTTTCAGAAATGAATTGCGAGACTGTTATATTGTAGAACTCATCAAACTACACATGTTCTCTTATTACAAAGCTGAACGATTGTCCATGATCCAAATTAAAGCATCTATAATCGATATCTGCTCTATTCAACAGATATACCCGCGTTGGGAGGGGTGGAAAGCGGGAAGATAAGTGTGAGAGGATATAAGAAAATAAAGCAAGATGCGTTAAGAATTCGTCGTAGGTGATAGACAAATCGATCGAGATACGTAGACTATGGTCTATACTTGTTAAATGGCTTTAAAACTGTACGGTCTCGTAGAAAACCTTATGTTTCACGGTTTCCAGAATATCTTCTAAGAATCTACATAAGGAGACAGATGTATTAACTCAAATATGTCTTTATCTCAAGTAGCTGCTTTTGACTGATTTCTATATAGGGGAGGGGAAGTCACCTTATTCTACGAAACTTTTCTCTATTCAACCTTATTGTAGAATAATAATTCTTTTGTTTGTTAGATAAATTAATTGTCTAGGTTTTGATAGAGTTCAAATCTGAAACAGTCTTTTTCGGGAACAGTAAGATTTTTGAAAAATTTCAAAGTTTTCTGAAAACAAATTCAATATATTTGAAATTTCACAATGTTTTTCGATCAGAACAAGGATATAGGTTTTATTATTAGAATGCCTATAGAAAAAACAGTCTCATTTTCATTGAAAATTAAGCGATTATTCAAAACAATATTTTTGACTAAAGAGAAATATTGTTGTATTTTTTCTTGCCTTGTCTCAACATAATAGTTCGACGATACACTGCTCTCTAAGATTCAACTATCAGACGGTTATTGTTATCTTTTGTATTTCTATATTTTAGGTTGCTGTGGCTGTGAAAATTCTCCGTAGTGGAGTAAATCCCCATTCTGATACTATATTAAACGATTTTATTCGTGAAGTTAGTGTGATGCATTCATTAGATCATCAAAATTTAATTCGATTACACGGAATTATTCTCACAAATCCATTAATGATGGTATTAGTCTATTTCTCTTTAATTTTTCTATTCTACCAAGAATTCTATTTTTATTTTAGGTTACAGAACTAGCTCCATTAGGTTGTATTTTGAATCGTTTACGTAATGAAACTCAACATTTTCTTATTTATATGTTGGTCGATTATGCGTCACAAATTTCAAACGGAATGGAATATTTAGAAACAAAAAGATTTGTACATCGAGATTTAGCTGCAAGAAATATTTTATTAGTCAATTATGAAAGAGTAAGAACAAATTATAATTGACTATAAAATATAAATTACATGTGATAAAATTCTATTTTTCTCTGTGTATTGTTAGGTTAAAATAGGTGATTTTGGTCTAATGCGGATAATGCCAAAACATGAAAATCATTATACAATGTCAAATGATAGTCAAATACCATTTGCTTGGTAAGAATAAGAAAAAATATTCTCACATAATTATGATCTTTTGAATATGAGATATATTTAAGATTGTAGAGTATAAAATATGAATTTTTTTTGCTTCTAATCGACGTTATGTATGTTGGTTTTTTTATCTGAGAAAAATCAAAGTATAGCAATGCGCTATTTAATTATAAAATCGGATTTTTACAACATTCAAATCCGTAACAAAAAATTGAGATCTTCCACTTTTTTTTTGTGATAATCGGTCTTTTCTATTTACTAGATCATTTGTAAACAAACTTACAATCTATAAAAAGAAAAATTACTGTACAGTAAAATAAAATCTAAACAAGTGTAACTAACTGATGATTATTTCCTTGAATTTCATCGCTATTCAACGAACTGATGCCAGTGTCACTTTCATCGGCTTCTATTCGTGCCGGTATATCATAAATTATTTTTTGTGGTTTCACTGATGATGGAGAGGTAATTAATGTTGAAGTACGAACAGAATACGAGTTTAAAGTCGTTGGTTGTTGTGACCAAGGCATTGTACTCGAACAACGTAACGGTAACGTATTTGAATTGCGTACTGGAAATGGGATAATTTGAATATTTGAATTTGTATTAGTTCTTGTAGTAGTAGGTGTTTGCGTTTGAGTAGACGTATTAATTGTTCGTTTATTATTTGAATTACCGTAATCGGTGGTAACAAAAAATCGATAAGTTGGCGGTGGATGTTGATGAGGTTTCTTTAAATTGTGTTTTTCATCTTGTTGTTGAATAACATTTTGATAAATGCTCTGAGAAGATGACGATGACGGACGAGTAACGAGAAGCGACGATGACATATTTTCATTCTGTGATAATTTTGTATTTGACGATGCTAAACGTTTATTTGAACTGTTCAAACGTAATGAAGAACGTCCATTATTATCAGAGAAAATATTAAGTACACTGTTGATAAATGACGAAGAACGAGCATTAGTCACTGGTTGTTGAGTTAGCGTTGAAGATAAAGATGGTTCAACAATTGCTGTAGGACGATGGATTGGAGTTGGCTGAGTTGACGGCACTATGTGTAAAACATAAAAAGAATGAAAATTTAAACATTTCAAGTACGAAGTAGTTTTTAAAAGACTACCTTGTTCTACTGCAACCGTATTTTCACATGGATGTCTCTTTTCATTTTCTTGTTTTAGTAGTGATAAAGAGGCATCTTCTTGTTCTACATCATTTAATGTACTAACACGTTCTTGAGTATTATCGTTTTTTGTTGCCCATTCCTCAATTATCTCACTTTTCACTGTTCCTGTACTTTTTACTTCGGTCTGCTCTTTTTTTGTGTTTGACTTATGTTGAGCTGCAGCTAAATTATTCAAATGTTGATTCAGATAATCGAGACTATCTTTAGTTTTGGTTTTTGTTGTTTGTTGAATTTTTCGTTTTAATTTTCTATGATGTTCAATTTTTTTCGTTTTCGGTTGTGGTTTATCCATTTCTTCTAGACTATCGGGCTCCGTAATAATATCTAAATATCAGAAACATTTCTCTTGTCAAACTGTGAAATTATAAAGATACAGAGATAACAAAAATCATACTTCTTCGTATTATATCATTGACAGCTGTTTACATTTTTGAAACAAATAACCATAACTTACCCTCTTCATCTTGTTCTTCACTTTCACTATTCTGATTTTTAACTTCAATATTCATTAGATCATATTCTTGTTCTAATTCTTCGGCTTGCTTTTGTTTTTGTTTAATATTAGCAGATATTGTTTGAATTTGTTTGTCAAATTGTTCCGATTGTTCAAAGAGTGATCTACTCTTTTCCAGAGTATCGTTGACATTTGTAATTAACGTTGAAATATCAGAATATTGAATCGAACTAGTTGAAGGTTGAGTATATATTGATGGTGTTTGTAGTTCATGTTCAATTTTAGTAGATAAACGTAGTATTAGTCGATTTTGAAGTTCTAATTCAGTGTGTAAACGAAGAACATTACGACATAATTGAGTATATTCATTAATCGAATCAGTTGGAAGATTGGAAAAGACGTTTGAAATATCAGACAAAGAGAGGTCCGAATCATCGCTGGAAGAATTACGATGAGGAATTGAAATGTGTTCATTTTGCAGCGAACTATCAGTTGTTTCTATTGCCTAGAAGAAGAAGAAAATATATATATCAGCATTCAAACGCAGATTCCGTCCAATCTAGGATTAGCTCAGGTCAAAGTCAAATACGAGACTGGACGCGTTCAATCTCAAATTTTGGTAGTACTACACAAGAAACTGCAAATTTAAGTAATGTTTAGCAGGAATTTTCCTTAAAGTGTACTCTAGATGCTTGCTGGTCCGTGCTGATTTGAAAATAGTGGTTGATGACTCACCAATCAACATGTCCGCTCGCCTGTATGTGCAGGATCGAAATTGTGCGCTCAGTTCTGAGAGACAAGCACAATAACCAGCGGTGATGGTGAGTCATCAAGCACTGTTTTCAAACCAGCAGGCATCTGGAACACACTTTAAGAAAAATTTTTGCTAAACGTTACTTAAAATTTGCAATTTTCTGTGTAGTACTACCAAAATTCGAGATTGAATGTGTCCAGTCGCATATCTGCCTTTGAATTTTCCTTAAAGTATACTCTAGATGCTTGCTTTAGGTTACCTCTAGATTGGACTAAATCCGAATTTGAACGCTGGCATATATATATACTTAAATACTGAGAATAACCATAGACTGTTCGAGACAGTACGTATAAACTTTTCTCCTAAGCCAAATGATAATAATGATAGACTGTAGAATTAATCTCTTACGTATTTTTTCAGTATCGGTTATTCAGCTCGAAGTATGTCGACAATTTGTTCAATCACTTATGTGTAGCACTTAATCTAATCTAGATATCGAGATAGAGAGAGAGAGAGAGGAAGAGAAAGCTTAATTTGAAAAACGTGTGCAAGAAAATGTATAGATAGGTAGGTAGATAGATAACTATTATTAAATATTAAGATGGAAAAAGCAGCCAAGAGCACTTGTGTGCTTTAAAATATTATATCTTAACTGATGTGAAAATTTTGTCACTCAATAATTTATTACGTGTTAGAAATGACGCCTATCTATTTATCGACATGACAACATACGCAATGATAAATTTTAAGTGTTATGAATGATTATTTAAATTTTGGATTACGTCGATTCTCTTGTTCCTTTTTTTGAAAATGTGTTTATATACTACAGGGCATCTAACACTAGCTGAAAAGTTAAAATTCAAAACTCTCAGTAGAGATCATTAAGTCTCATTTTTCTGTTATTTTAAAGAATATCGTTAAGCACATTTTTTTTGTCTTTCTCTCAGAAATATAAAAGATTTGTTTCTAATACCTATTTTTTGCTATTTATATGCCATGCTATTTATTATTATATGTTTATAACTTACTTTTAATTTTTTTAAATTTCTATCAGCTTTTCTAATATCTTTCTTTAATTTTTCTAATTTTTTATCTTGATATAGTACAATATTCACATAACGATTAACTTGTTCGATTCGTTCTGTATCACGATTTCGTTTTGAACGTCGTTCTAACGTGGAACGATTCAATGTATCATTTACTACCTGATCATTCGTCATTGTCCTAATTGGACTTCGATTTGTTGTTGGTGTACTTGTTTTAACAATTTCATCCATTGATAGTGGTCTTTGACGAACGGATAGTGTAACATTTGAACATTCTCCAGCCCATGATTGCCACAATTTTAATAGACGACATTTAGCTTTTAATGGTCGTTCTACACCACGCCAACATTCATAAAGTACATAAGAATGATTTTGATGAGTACGTAATGACGATTCATTAACAATAGCCTCAATAATATCCTCACACGTTGAACGACTTGTCAGATTTGATATCCATTTCATTCGACCATCATACCAAATTGGTATCTCTGTTTCTAAATCCATTGTTCTTAAAAATAAAAAGAGAAGAAAAATGATTAAAAAAATTTTATTTGTGCTAGACAGATATAAATTATTATAAAAAAAAACCAATATCTTTTACAAAGAACAAAAATGATGAAACAATCGTATAAATAATTAGTATAGAAGAAATACAATAACGTACTACACTTCTTCAATTGTTTTAAAACAATAACAACAATACTTAAACAATGTCTCTCTCACTCTTTAAACATAATAAAGATGTCTGAGAAATAGTATTACCTTTTTTTCAATCGTTTTCGATGACGCATTTTAATCTGATGATTTTGATGAGTTTTAGTTGAGTTCATATTTATACTTTATTACTATTGATTTTATTATTGATTCATGTCTTTTGTGGTCTCTCAGAGTTCAAGAAGCTATCAAGAATCGAACAATAAGAAAAAGAGTGAACATTTGGATTGTGAATATATATCACGTTTTCTCTATACTTGCAACGCAATCGATACAAAACAGAAGAGAGAGAGAGAAAGAGAGAGAAAACGAAAAAGAAAAAAAAGAAAGAAAAAGAAGGAAAATAAATTAAAGTATATATATCTATATCAGCAGAGAAATGAATGATAACCTTCAAAAAGATACAGATGTTTAGTAATGCCCCCTTCTATTCTCCACCCTCTCTCTCTATAGTTAGTTGTTCATTCATAAATATTACTCCTCCGATGTAGTGTTTGTTGTCTTTTATTGATTATAATATAGGAATATACCAACATTTTTTCCTTTTTTACACAATAAAGAAAAATATTAGAGACAACTTTTTACATTCTGTTTTGTTATTGTAGGTTGATTAGACAAAAATATCGCTTTTATCTTAAGTATTTTTTGTTTAAATTGATTGACTTTTTAAGAGAATCGTTTTCTGACATATTATCGATCGTAGCATAAAAATTCAAAAAAAGTTTTCTTTTAGTACTTTTTAAGTCTACTAGAATATGATGAAAAAAATGCATGAATGAAATCAAACTAAAAAAATAAATTAATTAATTTGAAGAGATTTTAGTTATATAAAATGATCGTTTTAAAAAAAAAATACAAAATAGTCCTTCACTAAACGTTTGCCATCTAGATGTTATCCGTTGAAATATTGTAACTCGCTCGAGCTTAACTAATTTGCTCATTACTCGATTCTTTAATGTACAAAGGTATATAATTGTGTAAATGGATATGTTCTGTTCTTTTTCAAAAAAATAAAAAATAAAATAAAATGAACAACCACATATTCTCTTTTTGTGCCTTCTTAGCAACGAACATTACTCTAAATGAACACAAAAGAGAGAAAGAAAAAGCAAATTAAAGATATACTTTAGATTTAAATCGTTGATTTTAACAATTGTATATATATATATAGGTTCATTCATGTAACGTATATCTGACAAGTTTTTCGTTTTATAACTGATACACATATGATAACAGTTCATATAATTCAAAACAATAGAACAAACAAGGAAAGAAATAAGTGACGAAGGTTCTTTTCCATTTGTTTAGTATCAATTCGACTATATTAATTTCAAGTCTGACTAAAAAAGTCAAGTTTGATTTGTGTAAAAGTAGAGATATTTATATAGAAGAGATAATGGAAAATATTTGTATCCGTTTAGTAGCCATTTAACTGGAAAGAAAATTAAAAATAATAATTATTATTATTTTTATTTTAATCATTTTTTAGTTGTAGTGTTTCTCCACAGTAGAGTTCAATTTTCAAAAAAAGAAAAACAAATCGTGATATTTTAATTTTACAAAAAGACTCATTTTGAATATCGTCTATGTTCAAGTGAGAAAAAGTTTAGAGTATTGTCTAATTTAAAAGTCACATTGCACCTATTTACTATTCAAAGTATGACCGATTAACAAATTCGCATCGGTTAATATGTTGTTTGATAGAAAAGATTTCTTATATTAGTCATTTTAAAACTGAAGAATAGATTATTTGTATTGCAATTGTTTTCCCTCTGTTTTGTTCGATTTTAAAGACTGTTTTATAATGTTAATTATTTACATTTATTATTAGAGTAAATTTATTAAGGAGTTAATCTTGTCTGAGAAAAGTGCACATATATATAGTAAGCAAATTGACTTGGCTGACCTCTTTGTAAGACATATATATATATATATATATCTATTACACTTTATTGATTTAGTGCTATGTCATTAACACCTTATACTTGACAGATGTATCTTCATTAGATACAGTGTTGCTCTCTTTCTCTCTCTTTCTATCTCGTTAAACTTTACGTGCCAACAATGTTGAATGTACGTAGTGTTACATATGAACTCATCCATAGAGAATGTTAAATGTGTGAATGTTTAAAACAAAAAAAAAAAAAGAAGAAAAACAACTTTTAATACAAATAAATTGATTGAGACATTTTTTGTTAATCAATAATAATGAAACTATGACTGATTGGTTTTAAACATAAAGTCTAGATAAAAAGAATATATATTACGTATATTATGATTGGCACAGCGTCCATTTAAGGTTAGAAGACTTTACAAGTGCTGAATGTGATGTGCAGTTACATACTGATCATTTTTCCCAAACAAAATGTTCGGAATGACTATTGATAGATATGTTAAAAACATTTTTTGATAGTAACACCTATCACTCACTCACAATCAATTACAACTACATTTTGAATTCAGTTTCACTTCGACTGTTCACTCCTCTCCGATTATCACACTGACGATTATATTGATACATTCCAGTCAACTTGAATAAGAGAGTTGTAGATAAGGAAAAAGGTGTGGTAATAGAAGTAAAATGAACAGTTGTAAACATGAGAGTAAACTTTCCCTTATAATCCTGTCAGTTATTTCAAAATCCACTGCGTAGATTCAAACGGTGTTCATGTTGGATATAACAACCTCACTCTTTTGTGCACACTGTTGAAATTGAACTCGCGTCGATGATACGTAGAAGTGTCGACTTTGTCACTACATATGTTTAACAAGATGAATAATAAGATGTCCAAAGTGATTCTTTTCATTTCATTTTTGAACTATGTTGTCGACAAAGAAAGGTTGTTTCATATTACAAAAAGAAGATCCTTGAAAATTAGAGTTGAACTTGTAGTATGCCAATCGAACGAGAAAGACGGTGAAGAAAAAAAGCGATTGAATACAAACTAGATTGAGAAGCAAAAAATATTTCAAACATGAACGATGAAAATTCATGCGTAGCAAACACATTTGTGTCATTACTCTCATTTTAATTTAATAACAAAAAAATGAATTTCTGTTACTTGATTCTGTTTCAAACAGTGTTTTAATTCTATCTCGTGACAAAATAATTCCAGTGTACATCTAGAGATGGGCACCGGGACCAAAATAGTTTTCTGGTCCCAGTAAAAGATTTGATTGTCGTTCCATCATCTTCACAGTTAAAATATCATTTGGCCGTGCATTTTGTAGAGAAATGTTTGCTCTTTCAGGTTATATATTCTAAAATATTTCGCGAGTCTCTTTTATCAATCAATTTAGCAAATACATGACCGGGACCGACCGGGACCAATCTGGTCTCGATCATTGTATTTGTCAAATTAATTCGTAACGAAGGCCTGTGATATATTTTAGAATATATAAGCTGAAAGAGCAAACATTTCTCTACAAAATGCACAGCCAAATGATATTTTAACT